TTGTGGACTTCAACTCCCAGAATTCCTCCTCCAGTCAAGTTAGCTCAAGAATTCTGGGAGTTGAAGTCCACCAGTCTTAAACTTGCCAAGTTTGAAGACCCTTGTTTTAAAACAGGGGTCCTCAAAACTTGGCAACTTTAAGACTGGTGGACTTCAACTCCCAGAATTCCTCAGTCAGGATAGCTGGCTGAGGAATTCTGGGAGTTGAAGTTTACAAATCTTAAAGTTGCCAAGTTTGGAGACCCTTGTTTTAAAAGATCCCAAGGAAACACAGCTGTTCTTTTTAGGCCAGTCCCAGTGAAGAAATGGTTATGGTTATTTTTATGGTCGTTGCACAATCAGTCAGAATTCAGCCTGGTTTTGGCTTTTTTTTATCCACCCATCCAGGCCTAAGACCTGGGATAGGCCTATGGTGGTGTTTGGTGGTGTTAAAGGGATCGTCTCAAGATGTAAGCTGTTCTGCATAAAGCTGCCTTTTTTGCAATTGACTGATGGTGATTTTTGTCGATGCTGCTGGTTTTCAAGTGGTGCTCCAGATGTTTGGGGACTACACCCATTCTTGTTGTTAATAAATATGCATTGGTCGCCTACCTCCCATGGACTCTGGACTCCTTTCAGAACTGGAAGCACATCTGTTTAGGAACCCTGGAACTCAGACTGTCTTAATTCAGTGATTCTGGGAGACTACAAGGATATACTCGTTTTTAGCAACTGCATGGAGGGAATTTGCAAATGTATTCTTCAGCAATATTTTTTTTTCTAAGTCTGGAATTTCTGGACATCTCCCACCTAGTTATTAACTAGCTTGCACCAGCTGGGATATTTGGGGGGAGATTACCTGAAAGATCTGGCTGGCTAGATCAATTTATGGAGGAAATCAGAGATAAGAAGAAATAATTTATTGAAAAGGATCTTGAGTTTCTCTTCCTCCCCCCCCAAAAAAGAAAAAAAAGTAGACATTGACCACATTCACATAATATCTTTAACCTGGGTTATCAGTTTAACCACTTCCTGGGTTCCCCTAATAGACTGAATTGGAGCCTAACTAGGCCTGCACAACATGAAAGCCACCTAACCATGATTTTTTTTTTAACTCTCAATCTTTTGAGTGGAATCTTTCGTGCCTAAGGCAGAACTAGAACTCACAGTCTCCTGGTGATTGGCCCAAGTCACCCAGCCAGATTTCATGTCTAAATTGGGCCAAAATCACCCAGCTGGCTTTCATGCCTAAGGCATGAATTCACAGTCTCCTGTTGACTGGCCCAAAGTCACCGAGCCGGATTTCATG